TGATAAGCTATAGTCACCGCAGATGAACTCAGATATATTACTGCACGGTTACTTTCACTTTCTGCAAATTACACTCTATAGATAATACTACTGTTGTCTATATCATCTTCCCTTTTTTCTATCCCCACACAGCCCTCGTTTCAAGATTTACCTTGATACAATATCAAAACAATCTAATTAAACATAATATGAAGTGAAACAAACAAAATAAATTTTTTGAATGAAACATCTTGACAATTCCAACAAAAATAAACATATCAAATAATCCTGGATATCCAGAACGAGAAGAACACAAAAAACATGGAAAATATAGAAGTTCTTGGCTAAAATAACAGCTTGTACCGCCAGTACCCTAACAACGTCACCAACAAACATACGCCAGCCCAGCTGTTACACTCACCACCTCATCATCATCAGCTTCATCCACATCTTCCGCTGCGATGTTGCGTTTGGGAGGCATCTTGGTTGCAAGGTCGTCGAAAGCGAATGCAACTGACGGAAAACCAAATGATGATTCCTTGAATACCTTCTACAACATAAACCCGCAGACCTAGTAACTGCTGCTCATCGCTTGGATAGATCTGTTGTCTATTGACAACATCCAGGATTACGCGTTCTCGGAGCAGCATCCGCGTGCATCCAATCGATCTTTTAGGATTTGGCGAAAGGGGGGGGGGGTTACTCACCGTAAATTTGCCCGAATTGAATCGGTCTTTTAGGATATTCTTGAGGAAAATTCGAGTGGATATACGTTTGATTGAATTATTGATTATTGTTTTTTCCTGAACACCATCTGTGGTATGGAAAGTCTCTATTTTTCAGGAGATTCACGTGTTTGTTAAAGATCATAGGCTGATATAACAGAAATAATGGCATATATTTTTTGTGATAGTATCAATTTAAGCCAAATGCCAACAATAAACGCTGATAATCATAATAACGTAAATTATAATATAAATAGCTCCTGATAATAGTCATAATGAAAATAATACCAACCAAAACAACAGTAACAATAACAATGATAATAAAACAAAACAAGAATAAAAAGGATGACAAGAATGATAATGAGAATGAGAAAAAAATTTAAATTGATATTAATGATTGTAGCAAAAATGATAATGATGATAGTGGTATCAACAATGATAATACTGGAGTCTCTTATTTATCAACCCTACACTGATAATGATGATAATGATAATAGTAAAAGTAATGAAAATAAGGATAACGATGATACTATTGATAATGATGATGAATATAATTATCATAAAACAGTAATGATAATAAAAGTGATGATAATAATGATAATAAAAAAATGGTGATAATAATGGTAATCACAACAATAACAGTAATACAATAATAGTAATGATAGTAATGATAATAAGGATAATGGTAGCAGTGGCAGTAATAGTAATGATGATGAATAATGATAGTAACGACAATATTAACAATAAGTAGAGACAATAAAAATAATAATGATTTTGATGATAATAATAAAAATGATAATGCTAATATTAATAACGATAATAATAATAATTAATGATATAGTAGTAACAATAGTAGTGATGATATTATTGATAAAAACAATGATTTTCATAGTAATAATCATAATGATTGTTATCATTTTCCATATCATTATCATTTTTATAATTTTTATTATTATCATGATTCTCATTATTATTATTATTATTATTATTATTATTATTATTATTATTATTATTATTATTATATTATATTATTATTATATTTTATCATTATTATTATTATTATTATTATTATTATTATTATTATTATTATTATTATTATTATTATTATTATTATTATTATTATTATATCATCATCATCATCATCATCATCATCATCATCATCATCATCATCATCATCATCACCATCATCATAATCATCATTATCATCATCATTATTATTATCATTATTATTATTATTATTATTATTATCATTATTATCATTATTGTTATTATTACTATTATCATTGTTATTATTGTCATTATTATTAATATTACTGTTATTGTTATCATTGTCATTATCAGTAACAATAACAATAATGATAATACTGATTAAGAAATAATAATAATGATAAAGATAATTATAATAACATTAATGATGATAATAATGATGATAACAACAACGATAATGATAATGATATTAATGATGATAATGTTAACAATAATAACAATAATAATAATAATAATATAATAATAATAATAATAATAATAATAATAATAATAATAATAATAATAATAATAATAATAATAATAATAATAATAATAATAAAATAACAATAATAATAATAACAATAATGATAATAATAATAATAATAATAATGAATAATATAATAATAATAATAATAATAATAATAATAATAATAATAATAATAATAATAATAATAATAATAATAATAATAATAATAATAATAATATAATAATAATAAAATAATAATATAATAATAATAATAATAATAATAATAATAATAAAAATAATAATAATAATAATAATGATAACAATAATAATAATAATGATAATAATAGTGATGATAATGATAATAATATTAGTAGTAATAATTATAACAATAATGATAATAATGATAATGAATATGATAACTGTAATGTCAATGATAATTCTAGAGGGGAAGATGATAACTGATGAACTGGTGATGATAATAATGATAATGGTGATAATGAAAATAGTAATAGTAATGATAATGACGAGAGCAGTAACAATAATAGTAATGATAGTAATTAACTAACACTACTAGGATCATTATCATTAACTACTAATAACAAATTCTATATTGAAAATGTTGTACTTAAAAATCACTTTAAAATGAAAATGATAACACAAATAGCGAATTAGTAAAATAGACTGCATTCTCATGCACACTATCATCGGAGCATCATTTACTCAAGAGAACTCATCTTTTTAGAATTGTGACAATGAATATTTTGAATGTTGAATGTTTTCAGTTTTTTGCTTCTCTGTTGTTGATATTGATATTATCATCGATATCGTTACCCTCATTATTAACATTTTTATTACATTCGCAGTCTATTATAATTTCCTCCATTCTTCTATCCCGTTGCTTATCTTTATCAATTTCTCTGTTACGACACACGGAGTTAAAATTCGGGAGGTGTTTGTGTGGGTTGTGTTTCCGTGGAATCTGGAAACTTTTGGAAGACGTCGTATTTCTGGTTATAAATCCTTGAATTTTGCAATTACAAAGATTTTGTTTTGATATATGGGTTCAAGATTTTGTAACACTGAAGCTGAAGTATGTCAGAACTTGGAACATAAAATTGATATTAATAATTACTCAGTGTTGACGTTTTCTGGATGTTTTTATGATGACGTATATATTAGATTAAGATATATATTCAGTTCGAAATGTTACGATGTGCAGTCTATAAGTATGAATTAAGTCAGTAAGCACCAAATGTAAAAAATAAGAAATATGTAGTAATTAGATGGGAATTAAGTAGTCTGTAGTTTGGGTTACTCTAAATCGCAAAATCATTACGGTACCGAATAACATGTTTTAATTATTATGGCCTGTAATCACCTCTTTATTGGTGCTCAAGAAGGTCACTCTTTACAGTATGGGTGCCCTAGGTTATGGCAAATTGAATATGATAAGAATATAAAGTTGCAGTCCTTGGTACTAGAAGTAATTTGCAGACACGAATGAACGCTGCAAATAAAGGAAAAAGATTGTGGAAAGTGCCGCTCTCAGCCAAAGTCCACTTGGTGTTCCCGAGTATCAGCTGTAACTTGCCATACATGCTGAGGTGAAGACAATGTTTCCCAGGGGATGTTGGGGCCATCAACCCTTACCTTGGGCAGTATGCCCAGTCATGTTAATTGATTGATTAGTAAATTTTTTGACGTGGAGTTATTGACTTAGTCTCAGGTGAATGCATCCATACTGTAAAGAATTACCCTCAAGAATATTCAAGTTCAGGTCTACAACCTCATGTCTTGTCAGAATGTACAGGGTGGACACTTGTTTCCCTTTTCTTTGAGCAGTGAGTAGGAAGAGTAGCAACAGCCTGATGTTGTACCAATCTTTGTTATTGCCAATACCATGCATGTTTACACACATGCATACACAAGTACAGGCATGTGCACATACACAATTACATGTATATAAAATTCTCTTGTGCAATTACTCATGCACATATGCATACTCTCACTTTCACTCTGGCCCTATCACTCTGTCACTCACTCACTCTGTCACTCACTCACTCACTCACTTTCTGATTTTTGAATTTATGACTTTATTTAGTATTTATTTCAGAAAAATAAGTTGTGATACTGCTAAGAAGAAAGAACTTAAAATAGTTAAAAACAAAAGCAATGTCACTAACAAATCTTAGTGATAAAGAAGAGGAACATGTTTCCCGCCCCGACACTCCAGTGAGTAGTGCCAGTGATGACTCATTCCATTCGGCAGACAATGATGACAGTAGCCCTGCTCAAGATGGAGAGAAAAGGTGTGACATTTAAAAGTTTATTCCCTGAAATCTTTAGTGTGTCAAAGGTTGCGCATTTTCCTTTAGCTGACTTGTTTTTTAATAGGTACATGAAAGATTTGTTATGTTGCTTAAGAAGGTTGATAATTTCTGGTATTTTAAAAATACCTGCACCTTTACCTAAAAATGCAATGCTATCATATCTCAGTCAGGCTTCTACCAGAGAATGTTCTGAGGGAGGGAGTGAATCTTCGGAAGAGCTATGTCCGGACGTTCCCGTAATAGAGCCAGATTGTCAAGAAAAGAGCAAGAGTGATGCAAGCCTTACACCTGACACAAAGTCTGGAGGGTCAGAGAGCCTGGAAGATTTTGGAATTAAGCTGGACAAAGAAAAGGAAGAGGATGAGGAAGAGGAAGATTTTGTAGATGAGGAATATTTAAAGGATCTTGAGCTCAGTATGACAGAGGAAGAAAAAGAAGTTAGTATTGATTTTTTGCTATGAGTCAGCATAAAAC